AGCCAATTTTGGCAGTCAGAGCAGCCCTTTGTGTGCTTCAGAGGCCCCTATAAAGAGCTGACAGTTATGAAGCAGAGATTATTCCACTGGATAGTTGATTTGATTGGCCTAGCTTACACCTCAGTTGGCTCTGATTGCCCTATTAGAGTGAGGACCCACTCCACTAGGAGGATGGACTCCTCATGGGCTTGGTCCAGCAGAGTTGGGGATATTTGCGAGGCAGCCAGCTGATCGTCGCCGTCTACCTTTGTCAGGTTTTATAACATGGACATCCCTGCTCTTCAGGCATGGGTCTTATCCGCTTAATTGTCTTGCACCCCAAGTAAGTGTTTTAGTCTTGAATGAGTGCTCCGACTGGTGGCCTGAACCTCACTAGTTAGCCTATGTTTCTTAGAGCCCTCATGGCAGTGCCCTAGAGCTGGGCTTGCAGGATGGCTTCTGTTCTGCGCTTATAGCATGGCATTGTGGCATATCGTTCCCCCAAGCATTATAAACGCAACATAAGAGACAGGGAACATTCCAGTTACTAATGTAACCTTAGTTCCCTGAGATAACAGGAATAAGTGTTGCATGCCATGCTGTACAGCTGCATGCGAGTCGATGCTGCCGCTCCTCAGTTGAAATGATTCTGATGAAATGGCATTCAGTGTCGACTTACATAGTTAACTCTGCCCTATTTTTGGTGAGCTGAAATGGCATATGTTTGTGCAGCTGCACAAACTTTAACAAATCAGGCTTCAGTATTCGGAGGAAAACAGTTTCACCCAAGCATCATAAACGCAATGCTGGTTCCCGTTATCTCAGGTAACCAAGGTTACATTAGTAACTGGAGCGTTATATTATGATGACATCCACTCTGCATTCATGGGGGCATTGCCACTGTATGTATGTATGTATGTATGTTGAGAAAAAAGATCATCAGGCTCTAACCTCAGATCTCCACCAAGAGGTGTGGTGTGCGAACTCGCCCTCCATCTCCGCGGTTCTGATGGACAAATGACATCCCTCTCTCCATTCACCTATCTGTGTTTCAAGCCATCTATTCAATCATTAATTCATTCACCATATGTCTGATTCACCACACAAGTATCTCTGAAACACGTGAACAAGTCTATTGGAAACAGAGAGAAATTAGTCAAAACTCAAAGAAGTCACATTATGGCTTTTTGCCCTAAATAATGCATTGCTATAGTGAAATAAATGATCCAAGATGGTAGACACAGTGGGATTGAAAAAATTTATTACAGTAAAATGTATACTAAAATCGCTCATCGAATCAGATTTAAGAACAAGAACTATCCTTTAGTAATCTAATATGTTCAACGTAGAACAGTAGTTTTCATTTCCAGTCCTTTAGCCCTTCAAACTGGAATCATGGCTGAATATCCCATGATGTCCACTTCGCAGGGCACTTATGGCCGAATAGAACAAACGTCTGA